TTTTTTTTTTTTTTTTTTTTGAGACGGGCTTACTGTCACCCAGGCTGGAGTGCAGTAGCCTCATCATAGCTCACTACCACCTGCAACCTCGAACTCCTGGGTTTAGGCAATCCTCCTGTGTCAGCCTCCCAAGTAGCTGGGACTACAGGCATACACCACCACGCCTGGCTAATTTTTCTGTTTTTTGTAAAGATGGGGTCTTGCTCTTGCTCAGGCTGGTCTTGAACTCCTGGCCTCAGGCATTCCTCCCACTTTGGCCTCCTGAAGTGCTAGGATTACAGGCATGAGCCACCATGCTTGACATAGAAAACATTTCTTGCCATGTACTATGACCTATACTGTTAGCTCAGCTCACAGTTGAATGATCCATGGGTTTAGTGGATAATTCTATGTTTATAAAGATACAACTTTACAGTGTAGAAAAATCTGAATAAAATAAAATATAATTAAGTGTCTGAGTTAAAGAGTGTGTATATTAATAGTTTATACAGATATTTCTTACTGGGTAAGAGTACAGTAAACCCTTGGAAATCAATTTCAAGGAACAGATTGATCACAATTGCCCTCTCAGTTACCAGAGCTAAATACCTGTTTTCAATTCTCAACCTTTTCAACATCTACATTATTTGACAGGATTAACCACCACCTCCTGGGCAGTCATTTCTATCATGGTTTTAGCATATGTACTCTCTCTGGCCCTTTCTCTGGCTTCTCACCCTGAGTTTATCCCTAAAGTATTGGTCGATTTCTGGGTTTGAGGTTCCACACTCTCTTCCAAGCAAACCACATTCTCTCTGCATATTTTTTTCCTTCATAAGTCTTTATCTCCAGCTCCACCCTCTCTGTCAAGCACCTGACCAATATTTCTATCTGGGCACTGAATTCTGCCTACATGTCTGTCCTTTGAATACTACAAATTCAACATGACTAAAGCAAAATTTATTCTTTACTTCGAGTCTTATTTCCTTCTTGTGCTATCTAAGCTAACAACTTCATTTTCTTTCCATTAACATCAACATAGTTTACGCTGAATGATTATATATTTCTGATTAATGAAGTCTGAATTGATGAATCCTTATTTATTTATTGTCTTTTAGATTATCATCTGTGGAAGACAGATCATCTGTAGTTACTTATCTCAAAGCATAGAACTAAAAGTCGTTCAGCATTACATTGGTCAAGATGGACAAGCTGTGGTTCAAGAACATTTTGACTGCCTCACAGCCAAACAGAAATTGCCTTCATACATACTAGAAAACAATGAACTGACAGAGTTATGTGTGAAGGCCAAAGGAGATGAAGATTGGTCAAGAGATGTGTGCCTAGAATCCAAAGCCCCTGAGTATAGCATTGTCATTCAGGTATGAGAAGTGGTACAATCTAGAAGAGAACAGCTTTAAAATCAAAATCTTCTCAGTATGCTCTTTATTTAGTACAGCACTTAATTGATTAAAAAGCGATTCATACAAAATGGGGGAGATGTGAAATAATATAGAAAGGCCTTGAGTAGTACTTCTCAAACTGATTCCTCCCCCTCCCGTAACACATCTGTATTAGTTCCTATAGTTCTTGTAGCCAAGCCTCTGTCCTTTCCAGGTGGAAGTGAGTTATATCCTGAAAAATACTCTGATGCATGGGGTGGGGGGAGGCTGTAGGGTGGTGTCCTCCCTTGAGGATCTTTGTGATGGTCTGTTACTTTTTTATCTCTTCCTCAATCTTCACCATCATCATTTTATTCCCTGAAGGACAAATTCTCTCTTTCATTCTGCCACTCAGTCTTATATCAGTCTCTCCTTATACAAATCCCTTCATCTTTGCAGAAAGAATTAGCTCCATCAACTCACTGCACATTCCCTTTATGCCATAATGAAGTCTGGTTTTGCTTAGTTGTTCCTTTTTTTAGTGGCTTTTTTTCTATAACTTTAAACCTTTTTATCTTCCAAACTGATATTACAGCCATGCCTTATTTCAATTAATTAGTAAACTATTTAGTATTTAATAGGACCCTTTTCTATCGCATGTGCAGGTGCCATCTTCAAACAGTTCCATTATTTATGTCTGGTGCACAGTTTTGACTTTAGAACCCAACTCTCAAGTGCAGCAGCGAATGGTGAGTGTTTTCCCAATCCTAAAATATGGTATATGACTCTGACCTTTCCTGTTCTGAAATAAATTAAGGTCAGAGTGACCCAGGGAAGAGATTTATTACAAGTTTGTTTCAGCATCAAACAGCTGGAATACTGCAACAAAGCAAATATGAAAGTTGTTCTGTCCTTTTATTTTTATAGATTGTGTTCAGCCCTCTTTTTATCATGAGGAGTCATCTTCCAGACCCCATTATCATACATTTGGAGAAAAGGAGTCTGGGATTGAACGAAACACAAATTATTCCAGGAAAAGGACAGGAAAAACCACTGCAAAACATAGAACCTGACCTTATACATCACCTAACATTTCAAGCAAGGTACTAGAGAAATCCTTATATTTTCCTAAGAGAAATTCTGTAGAAAAGTAACTTTACTGTTGAGAGGGGAGAGTGTGGATGAAGTTTTTTGTATGATTTCTTATCTTACGAGAATGTTATTTTTAAAATTGCCATGCCTTGTGTTCTCTTATTCTCTTTTATAGTTTTAGATAAAATACAGCATTTCTTATTAAGCTTAGAAATAACCAAGGGCGATCATCAGAAAATTTAAGTTAGATTTTGTTAACACACCATTTCTCTAGTAGAAGAAAAGATGACTAGAGATCTCAGCCCAGAATTAAGGGGTAGGGGGAAGAAACAGGAAAAGCCAGGGCCCAGATCATTCAAAAACTGTGCCATAAATGGACAAAAAATGGACTCAATCTCACAAAAAAAGCATTGGTCTATAATACTATATATTTTTAGTTAGATTTTTTTCCCCAGTAAATTGTAGACCACTTTAGAAATCTGATATTCATTCTCATTTTTTTTTCTGTTTCCTAGAGAAGAGTATGATCCTTCAGATTGTGCTGTTCCCATCTCAACATCCCTCATTAAGCAAATAGCCACTAAGCTACAACCTGGAGGCACAGTTAATCAAATCCTAGATGAATTCTATGGGCCAGAAAGAGTCCTTCAACCCATATGGCCCTATAATAAGAAGGACTGTGACAGGTAACGCTCTTCTGCAATCTTTTTCTACAAACAGTTCTCAACATTAAGAAATGGGTGAGACTCACATCTGTAATCCTAGCACTTTGGGAAGCCAAGGTAGGAGGATTGCTTGAGGCCAGGAATTTGAGGTTACAGTGAGCTATGATCCTGCCACTGCAATCTAGCCTGGGCAACAGAGTGAGACCTTGTATCTAAAAAAATTTTCTTTAATTAAAAAAAAAATAACTGTTCACAAAAATATCAGATACCATAAGCAGCACAAAGACAGGTATGCACACCAGGCATGGTGGCTAACACCTGTAATCCTAGCACCCCAGGAGGCTGAGGCGGGAGGATTGCTTGAGCTCAGGAGTTGGAGACCAACCTGAGCAAGAGTGAGACCTCATCCCTACTAAAAATAAAAAAAATTAGTTGGGTGTTGTGATGTGTGCCTGTACTGCCAGCTACTTGGGAGGCTGAGGCAGGAGGATTACGTGAGCCAAGGAGTTTGAGGTTGCAGTGAGCTATAATGATGCCTCTGCACTCTACCCAGTGTGAGACTCTGTCTCAAAAGAAAAAAAAGAAAAAGCAAGAAAGGTATGTATGTATATCTGTCAGATTCTTTTATTATCTAGTAGGTGCATTTTGTAGATTTCTTTACTTATAATTTAGAACATAATTTCATGAAAAGTTGCTTTCTCCTGCATTCAAATTCAGCATTGGATGATTCTAGTGTGAAGAGGTATCATACAGGAGCATTGTGTGTCTGGAATCCTTAAACATAATTCATGAATACTAAAGTCATCATATTTCACTGAGTCTCTTGGATGTGGTATTTGGAACAGGAATGAACAGCTGAATCAGTGGGATAGCCCAATGCAAGTGAAGCTGTCAATCTGGAAGCCATATGTTAAAACCTTGTTGATAGAACTTCTACCCTGGGCCTTACTTATCAATCAATCCAAATGGGACCTCTGGCTATTTGAAGGAGAGAAGATTATTCTACAGATTCCTGCTGGAAAAATTATTATTCCTCCTAATTTTCAGGTATTATAACTTTTTAAACTAATATGAATTCTTTTCTCTCAGCAACTAGACTTTATTCAGAGGTTGCATTTATGATTTTAACAGAATAAATCGGTTGTGGAAAACTGTTCTCTTAGATGCATATGTAAAGTATGTGGAATGTTCTTTGATATTCAAAGACTTTTCTGATGTCTCCTTTTTTTTTTTTACCGTCAGCACTATTCATGCTTGAGTTATCATTAAATTTGATAACTTGTACTAGTTACATTCTCTTTTCCATTGTGTACAGGATATTTGACAAGCATTAGGGTTGGTCTACCCAATGTATGTTAAGGACATAAAGCCATATTATATGCTAACCCACCCCTAGATTTTCTTTGCTGTTCTTCTGGAAATTCTCTGAGATCTGTAAGGTGTTGAGGATTTCTGGGCAACTATTTTTATCAGGGCCCCTTTTCCTTCATAAGTGGATTTGGATGTGCATAATTACAGATGTCCACCCAGTTTTTGATTATAACAACATAGAATCATTCTTGACACAGGGAGAAAAACCTAATTACAAAACAAACTATCAAAGGAAGATTTTATATTCTGTCACAAAATAACTTTCTTCATAAGGCTATTCCATTTCAAGAAGACACATAAATCTATTAATATAAGAAAATAGAGTAAAAGGAACTCTTAAATAAAATGTTTTTCTGATAGACAATAATTTCAGAGTCCTTTTTTGAGCTCCAGTCCATAAACATCTTTATTCAATTGCATTTTTTTCTTTCTTTTTTTAAATAATCAGATGATGTTACCTTATGAAATTGGAATGTTAACCTATATGGACCTAACGTTGCATATTATTCTCTTGTCAAATGAGATGAAACCTTCAGTTTTTAGGCCTTTGGTATTTACAGGGTAATCACAGTTTGGATTGGTTTTTCCTCCCTTCCATAAATATGAATTCCATTGTGAATCAAAAAGGATATTGGGAACCAAAATAAAATTTATGTTGTCATTACCAAAAAAAAAAGGTCCAGGCGCCGTGGCTCATGCCTGTAATCCTAGCACTTTGGGAGACACAGGCGGGGGAGGAATGCTTAGAAGCCAGGAGTTCAAGACCAGCCTGAGCAACACAGCGCTATCCCATCTCTACAAAAAGTATAAAAATTAGCGGGGTGCAGTGGCTCATGCCTGTAGTGCCATGTGCCTGGGAGACTGAGGCAGGAGGATCGCTTGAGCCAAGGAGTTTGAGGTCGCAGTGAGCTATGATAACACCACTGCACTCTAGCCTAGGCAGTAGTAGAACAAGACCCTGTCTCAAACAAAAAAAAAAAAGGGATGTTTGGCTGCCTTAGTAGATTTATTGTATAATATTAAAAAAAAAAAATCATGAGGATTGAAGTAAAAAAAAATCAAAGTTAAGAAAAATACTTTATAATTGAGGCATTATTTTTCCAGGAAGCTTTTCAAATTGGAATATACTGGGCAAATACAAACACTGTGCACAAGTCAGTAGCAATTAAACTGGTCCACAACCTGACATCTCCAAGGTGGAAAGATGGAGGTAATGGCGAAGTTGTGACTTTGGACGAAGAAGGGTTTGTTGATGCTGAAATAAGACTTGGTGCTTTCCCAGGACATCAGAAGGTAAGATCAAAGTCTGTGTGGCTCGGAGGAGATAGCATGCCACCCCCTTAACCTGTTTAAAATGAATCTGCCCTTTTCTTTTTAGTCCTTTTTTGGTATTACTTGTTCTAAACAATTTATAACAGTGAAACATTTGATTTCTTAACTTCTCAGACCTCTCTGTTTTGCAGTGTTTTTTTTTTTCTTTACCAGTGATAAAAACTATGTCACATAATTTATCCAATAATTGTTCTATTTCAGAACAGTCAGCAGTCACCTGATTTGTAGTATGTGGGGGCCGGGGTGGGGAATGCATGTATTCCAGAATATCCACAAATTATATTTGGCCTCCTTTTTTAGAGCAGGAAGAAGAGTTGAACATTCTGAGCATGGAGTGAAAAGACAGAGGCTCCTGTAGCCAAGGTTATATTGCTGAAGGGGCATCCTGAGCAAAATGATGGGGTCATCATTGAAACATGGAAACAATGTCATAAGGAGTTGTATTCTTTTTTTTTTTTGAGACAGAGTTTCACTCTGTTGCCCGGAGTAGAGTGCCATGGCGTCAGCCTAGCTCACAGCAACCTCAAACTCCTGGGCTCAAACAATCCTCCTGCCTCAGCCTCCCAAGTAGCTGGGACTACAGGCATGCGCCACCATGCCCTGCTAATTTTTACTATATATATTTTTAGTTGTCCAGCTCATTTCTTTCTATTTTTTTAGTAGAGATGGGGTCTCGCTCTTGCTCAGGCTGGTCTCAAACTCCTGAGCTCAAACAATCCACCCGCCTTGGCCTCCCCAGAGTGCTAGCATTACAGGCGTGAGCCACTGCACCCAGCCAGGAGTTGTATTCTTGCACAGTGGGCTGGTGCCTGTGTTTTTAGAAATACGGATACAAAAAACATACTTAATCAATTATTTAACCGAATATAAATGGTTTGTGCTTTTCAGCATAAATCTGGCCTATGAAAATTGGCTGTTAGCTAGTTTATATTATTAGCAATTAGCCAAATAATATAATAAGTAAACACATTAAGTTATATGTGTGAAAGTATAATATCATAGTGTGTCATGTAAAAGTTTCATGCTGTGCTTCTGCATCTTCATTATTTTAGCTGTCCCAAATCAGAAAAAGAAGGGATATTTTATCAGCATAGTAGAATTCAGAATGGCCTTTTACTGGAGAGAAGTTAGATTTTTGACAGGCATCTTTAAAGAGGCTTTTGAGAAAAGTTAGGGTCATTTGGTGACTTTTTAAAAAATAAATTTCTCTGATACAAAGAAGTTGGTCTTTCTTCAGTATTCAAGGCTGGTATCCATTTCCTCAGTTGTCTGGGCAACACATGTTTATGCTCTGCTGGCCAAAGCACTGTAACATGGGTGTAAATGGCAAAGAGCTGTAAGCATGAATCACCCAAAGTCAAATAGTTGTAAGTTGAGAACCACCATCAAAACCTGGAAAAAATGTTATAATATTCAGTCAACACCCAGTACTTCTAGCACTTCACAAAGTGGCCACAGCAAGTGCTGAATAAATGTTTGTAAATGAGTGAATGAACTCTCAGAAAATATACTGATGTCTCATTATTCTTTGGTGGTAACTCTTTAGTCTCAGGACCCCTATACAATCTTAAAAAGTATTGAGGACCCCCAAAGACCTTTTGTTTCTGTGGGTTATATCACTATTTGTCAAATTAGAAATAAAACAGATATTTTTAAAACATAAGAATATACATTTTGAATTCATGGCCCTTAGGGAAAAAAAAAGAATATACAAACATATATTCCATTAGCCATCAGAGTAATGACCTCATATGTCATATAGCCTCTGGAAAACTCTACTATACACTCATGAGAGATTAGAGTGGAAAGGATAAATAGCATCTTAGTATTATTATTAAAATAGTTTTGACCTTGAAACCCCATGCCCAGAGACTTCCTATGAGTCCTTAGGACCACCCTTTGAGAACCGATGTTCTGACTTTACCACTTACTAGATGGGTATCTTTAAGCAAGTAGCATCTTCTCTGAGCATCAGTTCTTCATATAAGGTGGTGGAGTAATGAGTCAATCCATGCAGTGGTGAAGAGCAGCACGATAGAGCCAGACTGCATGGATTCCAACCCCAGATAGACTATCTTTGTGACCTTGGGCAAGTTACTTAACCTCTTTGTTGCCTCACTTTCCTCTTCTGAAAAATGGAGATAATTGTAACTACCCTGTGTAGATATTGTGAAGATATTGTGAGTTAGTATGTGTGGAGTAGTACTTAAAACATGTGGAACACAATATTGCAATATATGAAGGTCAGTCATTGTTTTGTTCATCGCTGTCATCATTATTAAAGTTCCCAGAACTGTCCGTGGTTCATAAAAGGCACTGAGTGAGGTAGCTGCCATGACGAGCATGAGGAGGAGGAGGGGAATGCTGGATGGAATTCTGTCTAGTAAGATGAGTGGCATTTGTTTACATATAAGTGCTTTATAAAGAAATATTTTGTGAAATAATCTGAAAACAAGTTTCTTATCTGTCACTGCACAACAGCAGCAAAAGTAACTGGCTTGCTGAAGTAGCCGATTGTGTAAAGACCGACAGAGACCAGCACATTTGTGAGACTGAAAGGGATTGCTATTAAATACTCTGGAAAAAGATAAAACTGGTACTGTCCTGGGCAGACCAATAGATAAAATAATCTTTTAGGAATACTCAAGATATTTTTATGTGCTTTATGATATTGTCAAAATTGCTCTTTTCTCAATCATCTTGCAGTTATGTCAGTTCTGCATTTCCTCCATGGTACAGCAAGGTATACAAATAATTCAGATTGAAGACAAGACTACAATAATCAATAATACACCATATCAGATATTTTATAAACCACAGTTATCTGTCTCCAATCCCCATTCTGGAAAGGAGGTAAGATGATTGTTTTGTTTACATTTTGATAAAGTAACAATAAATAGGATTGACTTTTTTTTTTTTTAACATGGAGCAAATAAAAAGCTAACACTGAATATAGGTAAAGAGGAATTCATTTACTTATCTGTAATTAAAACCAGGATGTCATGGTCACTGCTTTCAAGGTAATTAATGAGCAGAAATCCTGCAAAGCATCAGATCCTGACACACTGCTGGACTAATTCTGCCTGCACGCCATCTGCTCAGAGGCTCTAGCCCAGTCCTCTAACATGCTCACTAAACCCCCACTGGCAGAGAAGTAGTCCCGAGGACCTGCTCCCAGGTGGCATGAAAAAGCACATCTGCCTCACAGGCTGCAGTGTGTGGAGGAGCCAAATGGGCAGAAGCCTAGGACCCAAACTGAGCCATGGATCTGGGAGCAATGAGCTCTGTATCTACGAGGAGAGTAAATGTGAAAACATACCAGCTCATTTATGTTAATATCTCAATGGCAGAATATGCAGAAAATAAATCCAAGAATGTTCTGTGGGATTTTTGATTCAGTTCTTTGTACAATTGGAATGAACTGTTATGTTTTAAGAGAGTAAGGAGAGATTTTTAAAGAACTTAAAAACAGAATGGGCTAAATGGTATGTTATTGTTTTATTTATATGCTCTTGAAATTATTATATAGGAAAGTATTATCTTTCTTTACCTTTGTCTGCACTTACTATTACTCCTTACTTTCAGCTCCTAAAAACTATATTAGAATAATCAAATAGGATGAAAGTCTTATGCTTTTTAAGCTTACAGTGTGTTGTGGTGCAGTCAGCCTTCTGTGTCCTCGAGTTCCACATCCATGGATTCAACCAACCACGGATCAAAAACATTCAGGAAAAAAAAGAAAAACAACAATACAATGATAAAAAAATCATACAATAAAAAAGCAATACAATATAACAACTAGTTATATAGCATTTACATTGTATCCGGAATTATAAGTAATCTAGAGACGAGTTAATGTATATGGGAGGCAAAGCACAGGCAACCAGAGCAAAACTGGACAAATGGGATCCCATCAAGCTAAAAAGCTTCTGCATAGCAAAGGAAACAATCAACAAAGTGAAGAGGCAACCCATAGAATGGGAGAAAATATTTACAAACTACTCATCTGATAAGGGATTAATTACTAGAACATTTAAGGAGCTCCAACAACTCAATAGGAAAAAATCAAATAATCCAGTTAAAAATGGGCAAAGTATCTGAATAGACATTTCTCAAAAGAAGGCATACAAATGGCCAACAGGTATATGAAAAAATGCTCAACATCATTAGTCATCAGAGAAATGCAAATCAAAGCTACAATGAGATAACATCTCACCTCAGTTAAAATGGCTTCAATCAAAAAGACAGGTAATCATGAATGCTGGTGAGGATGTGGAGAAAAGGGGAACCCTTGTACAGTGTTGGTGGGAATGTAAATTAGTATAACCACTATGGAGAACAGTATATAGGTTCCTCAAAAAACTAAAAAGAGAACTCCCATATAACCCAGCAATCCCACTGCTAGATATATCCAAAGGAGGGGAATTCAGTATGTGGAAAAGATACCTGCACTCTCATGTTTATTGCAGCACTATTCACAATAGCCAAGATTTGGAATCAACTTAAGTGTCCATAAGTGGATGAATGGATAAAGAAATTGTGGTACATATACACAATGGAATATTAGATAGCCACAAAAAGAATGAAATGCTGCCATTTGCAACAACATGGATAGAACTGGAGAACATTATGTTAAGTGAAATACACAAAACACAGAAAAACAGATCTTACATGTTCTCATATGTGGTAGCTAAATATTAAAAACAATTGATCTTATGGAGACAGAGTAGAATGACAGTTACCAGAGGCTGGGAGGGTACCGGGAGTGGGGGATAAAGTGGAGATGGTTAATGAGTGCAAAAATATAGTTAGATACAATGAACAATATTTGATAGCACAACAAAGTGACTATAATCAATAAGTCACTGTATACTTTAACTAAAAGAGTAGAATTGTAATGTTCCTAACACAAATAAATCTTAAATGCCTGAGGTAATGGATGCCCCAATTACCATTATTTGATTAATTCACATTGTATGCCTGTATGAAAACATTACATGTACCCTATTAATACATACAACTATTATATACCCACAATAATTAAAAATAAAAAAGATTAAAAAGTATATATTGGAGGATATACATAGGTTATATGCAAATGCTATGCCATTTTATGTCAGGGACTTGAGCATCCTTGATTTTGGTATTGGGGGGGTGTCCCGGAACCAATCTTCCATGACACCAAGGGACAACTGTATTTACAGATATGTCCGAACAATAGAATTTCATCCTGGTTCACTGAAGTATTGATAGAATAAACAGGTGACCAGAAGTACCCAATTGGGAAACAAAGGTCAACAATATTTGCATTGTAGATAAGGATGTGGCAAGAGAATCAACATGTGTCCTGATAATTTTCCTACTTCTCCCCACTGCCACCAGGGTTTCCTGAGACACTGATTAGGTCAAGGCTTTCCATACTGACATTTTCTCATCTGTAAAATAGGCATGATTTTGCATTCCTTGCAAGATTTCTTGTGAGGATTAAGCGAGGTAATACAAGTAAAAGGGATAGGCACTCAGTAAAAGATAGTAGCCAGCAGCAACTGAAATATCAACATCACACAGAACTCCTGATTGCCTCAGCTTCCTGGAGAGAAGGGAATGGCCTCATTTCTTCCCTGCAGCTGAAGACTGTCCCCCTTTTCAAGCCGGACCCTGCTTCAGGCAGGTGTGGGATTTTTTTAAAAGACATGCTAATCCCTACCCACTCAGGGAGACTGTGAGACAGTGGGAAAAACACCAGACTTGGAAGAAGATAACTTGGCTCTGCCTGGGCTATGCCAGTTGTTGGCTTTGTGATATTGGACTAGTCATCAGCTTTCTGGAAAGCAGTTTTCCTCCGCTGCGAAAGAGGAGATTCAAATAGATTATCTCTAAATGTCCTTTTTCATTATAAAATTCTGAGACTCTCCAATGTATCAGAAGCCATACGGAATTCCTCCTGAGGGTTGGGATCAGAGTGTGCTCCTCTCTCAGGATGAGCCTTAACTTCAGTTTGTTTTCTGAGCTCCCAGTTCACTGTTCTGTCTCATTCAGATCCTCTCCCAGTATCCCCCAGAATGCCATACTCTTTCAGCGCCTCCGTCCTATCCAAGAGGAGTTCTTCCTAGCACATTTCATATCTTCCTCTATGGCACTGGGATTTTTTCAATACCTGGGGGACAATGAGAACTTTGCATCTCCTTTTAAAACGCCCCAGCTCTATAATATTTCATTATGCCCAGAAAAGCAGACCCTGCTCTCACTGCTTGTAATAGTCTCATTAGGGCTTTCTCGTGGGAATAGGATTCCTAATATTCCCATATCTCCGACCCAGCCACTTTCTGAGAATACATGGTTATGGATGGTGTCTTAGAAGATGTGCTTTAAAAAGCTTTGCTGTATTACTGCAGTTAATGTGCTTTCTCTGCATTGTCTTTTCTTTTTTCAGTATTTTCATGTTCCGGACAGTGCTACTTTTAGCATTTGCCCCAGCGGAGAGCAGCCTGCTGTGAAATCCAGTTCCCTTCCTTGCTGGGACTTAATGCCTGACATCAGTCAGTCAGTGTTAGATGCATCCTTGCTTCAGAAACAGATCTTGCTGGGCTTTTTTCCTGCGGCAGGTGCTGACGGCTCACAGTGCTGGAGCCTGCCAGCTATAGTTGCACAAGAGTTTCCCAGACAGAGTGTGGCCGTGCCCTTTGGGAATTTTAGGGAAAATGGATTCTGTACCAGGTATTTTACGTATATGTAAACGCCTTTCCTCATTGTTTGTCAGTGTGGCTGTTTCTCGAGATGCCCAGAGAGACAGAATAGTTGCAGTGCTCCTCATATGTAATACGAGGCTTCATTTTTATTTTTAATGACTTCTAGACATTGTATACAATTGGTCAAATGTCATGATGACATATGGGTTTCTCAGTGATACTGGGGGAAAAATGATGGTGTTTGTACCATAGAATAGCAGCAGTACGTCGTTAATGAAAAGATCATCTTTTATGAATTCTCAGCCTCCATAAAGTGATGAGAAATAAGGGTTAAAACATAAGAAATTGAAGTTGGAAAACCTTTTCTTTTCCCATATTTTACTTTTACTTCAAAATGGAATTTTCCTCAAAAAGTCATTAAGAGAGATAACTTAGATAAACACAAGTCACAAAAGACTCTTTTTTGTGGTTGTTCCTGCACGCAAGTTGCTCCAATTACCGATTACCAATTATGCAAAGAACAACCACAGAATCAAGCCAGAGACATGTAATGGTTTGTTCATACTGGACTTCTATTTTGTGGTTGCTTTGCATGCAATATGTCCTTTCTGCAGCTGTCAGGAATAACTTAAAGTATATAGAACGACTACAAAAGAAAACATATTGTGACCTTGCGAGAGGTACATTATTTTTATGATTGTGAATTTATAAACTCTATTTGAGATTTTAGGCATCCTAACTTCTTTCATGTATACAGAGATTTTTTTAATAGTGATATTTTAAAAGATAGCAGCCTAACTTGAGTTCTCCATAATAGTAAGGTTCTGTTCTCTACACATACCCCTCTTTCTTTCACAATATTCATAAGCATCTTGATTTCACTTGTTTTGTCCCTAATGCTGTAGAAGGGTGGTTATTCCTTATATTCTGGTTAAGTGTGGCAAGTTTAAGGAAATTTTTTGAAAACTATGTGAACTTACATCTGTAAAACAAAACTTATTTTTAAAACTCAACAAAGGCCAGGCGCGGTGGCTCACGCCTGTAATCCTAGCTCTCTGGGAGGCCGAGGCGGGCGGATTGTTTGAGCTCAGGAGTTCAAAACCAGCCTGAGCGAGAGCGAGACCCCGCCTCTACTAAAAATACAAAAGAAATTAATCGGACAACTAAAAATATATAGAAAAAATTAGCCGGGCATGGTGGCACATGCCTGTAGTCCCAGCTACTCGGGAGGCTGAGGCAGAAGGATTGCTTGAGCTCAGGAATGTGAGGTTGCTGTGAGCTAGGCTGACGTCATGGCACTCACTCTAGCCCAGGCAAAAGAGTGAGACTCTGTTTCAAAAAAAAAACTCAACAAAATTTGAAACAAAACTTTATTTGGAAATTAAGTTTAAAATTTTAAGAGTTATAGCATAATTTAATCTTACCTATAAATACTAAGGTAGATATTAGATTGAAAGTACTATACTCCAGATCTGGCCTCCAGCTTTCTTGGCTGTCAAAAAGAAACTCTCTGAGGTTGGCTTGCCCAGCTCTTTCAGAATTCAGCTGGGAAAAAAAACTTTGCTGTTAATCCAAGAACTGTTCTGTGAAGACAAATTTACTTCCTGCTCTCCCATGTTCTCATCTCTTTGCTTCCCTCAATCCAACAGTGTACATTTGATGGTGTATTGATACACTTTTACCAAATGCTAATGGACAATTCACTTTGGCATTTCAGACAAATACAATCTTTGGGAAGACTCACACTGGCAAGTGGGATAGATGGCAAATGGGAAATTCTTTAGTGCATTATAACCCGCTTTTAATCATCATAAACTAAGGACCACATTTGGCATATTATCTGATTTCCTTCATTAATTTTGACAATCAGTCCATGTAATGTGGACTTTGGGAGTGAATTTTTCTTTCCTGCCTTGATGTGAAAAACTGTTTGGTAGTCTGTAGATCTAAATAGGAAAACTACTCTCTCTTCATCATAGAGGGCAACCTATGCTTACACAGCTGTTTTTCTAATTCCAAATTATACAGCTTTATTCCTGATAGCCAAAAGGTAGATCCTGTAAAATATGATCTTGCAAAAACTGACAACAAACATTAGGAGCCTACCTACCTTTAGAATAAGAAGAACAAGCACTCAGATTCTCTAGTAGTCTTTCTAAAAGCAGGTCAGCTCCCCTTTTACCGAAATTTGCCAAGCACTTTTGGGAAAGGTACGCTGTGTAAAGAAAGAGTTTAAGGCACATATGCATAGAGGGGAAAAAAAGAACAACAGGAAAGGAAAGGTTAGCACCAGATTAGCTATAATTGTTTTTGGGTAGTAGACTTATGGGTTTTTTTCCTTTCACATTTTTTGAATATTTTATGACTAATATATGTTACTATAATTATAAGAAAATAATCTGTAAGTCTAAAATTAGTGTATGGCAGTTAATAAATGAGAGGTTGGACTCTTTTTTATGGAAAATATCTCCCCTGAGTTGTAAGAGAGAAGATGTTTTAGAGGTCTGAATATTGCAAATCTAAACAAACGTGTTCCAGAAGAGAAAGCATTCAATTTTTTTTTAAACCATTTCTGTCATTCGGTCTGATTCTGTTCCAGGGCCATAGCACTGACATATCAAGAACACTTTGGAGTGACTTATTTAACCCTCTCAGAAGACCCTAGTCCTCGAGTAATTTTCCACAATAGATGTCCAGTAACAATGCTTATAAAGGAAAATATTAAAGGTATATTTTATACTATTGAATTTACATAATACAAAACTTGCACTTTTTCTGAAGGTTTTTTGATTTAGTCGTTACCTGTAATCATGTGAATAATGTTTAAATAAAAGTATTATTCATCCCTCCTTGAGAAGTTTATTTTGTCACATTATGTTTAATATCCCCAAGTCTTTGTCTTCAAGACCTAAGTCTGCATATGCCTTCTTTTAAATCTCAGATATTCCAAAGTTTGAGGTTTATTGCAAAAAAATTCCTTCTGAGTGCTCAATTCATCATGAGCTGTATCATCAGATTTCCAGTTATCCAGACTGCAAGACCAAAGACCTACTCCCAAGCCTCTTTTTGAAAGTAGAATCGCTGGATGAAATAACAACTGAGTGGAGTGATGCCATCGACATCAACAGTCAAGGAATGCAGGTCAGTGAGCCACGTGTATTCCTGCCAGGGCCCAAAGAAAAATTCCCTCTTCTATGATTTCGTTGGTTGTCTATTTTTAAACATAATTTTCTAAATGCTGAACTTTTTGTCTCTATGTGAAGGAGCATATGTATCCATTTTTACATGCTTATTGTGTTATTATTCTCAAACCCAAGTATATTTCTCCAAAGTAGACAATGATTTACTTGAGAGGGACACTTGGTAAAAGCAGACCCATCTTGGATCTAATCTAAGGTAAAAAATGAAATATAATTGTTAGACTTCTTTTTATAGAAAGCAGTCCAGCTGTCCAGATTTCCAGATTTTAGGACAGTCATAATACCAACCCAACATTAATTCCCTCTTTTGAAACTTTATTAATTTTAAAGTATACATATTTTTCCTGTTAATATATGAAGTTCTGCGAATATAGGTACAGTTTAAATAAGCAGAGCAGATAAAATTGTCTTTATTTGTTTCTGTCTTACTCTGAATGTTGGTATTGTTTTTGTTGAAAATAGCACATAAACCTAGCATTTCCTTTTTGCTGTACTTAAAATTTACCATTCGTAAGTGTACCATTCAGTGGTATTAAATACACTTACATTGTTGTACAACCATCACTACTATCTATTTCTAGAACTCTCTTGTCATTCCAAATAGAAACTCTGTACCACTAAGCAATAACTCCCCATTTTCCCTTTCCGCCAACCCTATTCTACTTTCTGTCTCTGTGAATTTGCCTACTGTGAGTACCTCAGATAAGTGGAATCAAAGTATTTGTCCTTTTGTGTCTGGCTTATGTCACTTAGCATAATCTTTTTCAAGGTTTGTTCATGTCATAGCATGTATCAGAACTTCATTCTGAATCATATTGTGCTATACTTTTTTAAAGTTCTTTCACATTTATTAGTTCATTTGGTCTTCACAAGAAGCTTGTAAAGTAGGTTCTGTTGTAATGGTTACAAAACACATGTTGAAGTTATAAATATGTTTACAGGAATAATAATGGTTATCATTTAATAATCACTTACTCTATGCCAGGAGTTGTTCTCAGCACTTTACATTCAATCATATCTACCCTTTACAACAGCCACACAAGTTAGGGACCATCCTCTTCATGTTACAGAGGTGGGAACTGAGACCTCCAGAAGTACCTTGGTCTAATTTGCATCCATTACCAGAGAAAGGTGTGGGATTTTATTCAGGTCAGCCTGGCTCCAAGGCCAGGGCTCTGAAGCACTATGCTATGCATGGTACTTCCTTACCTAGAATTCCTTGACTCCCCTCTTTCCCAGTCCTCCTGGCACTTTCTTTCTCATCTCTCAAGATTTAGTTAAAGCCCCTATGACGTTTATTTGTGAGGTGTGGAATGAATGATCTGCTAAGAGAAAGAGGGAAAGTAGTAGCTCTGGAAACGGGTGAAGGGTCTGGCCAAGGACAGGTGAAAGAATGGCTGAGCAGCCTGGAGGGCCACTCTCACCCTGGAGGCCTACATTTGTAGTGGGCCCACACTACCCAGGGGTGTGCTTTCCATCGGCAGTGCTCACTTGATGAACATTGAAAACCTGCTGGATCTATGCAGCCTCAAGAGACTTTCCCAGTCTCATCAGTTTACAAAGTAAATATTGCACGCGTCTCAAGAGTCCCTGAACTTCCCTGCATCGGTTTGAAGATTTTTGAAATCGTGCTTATATATGACTAGGGAATTCTTTACAATAGGCATTCTGCCTGCCAAACCTTATTTTGGAGATTCCCATTCACTCCAAATTTCTTCAAACCTTTGTAGTTGGGGATACTTCAGAGCTAAGAGGAGGCGCTCTTTCCAACACCCTTATCATCTGTGGTCTGAGCACCCAGAAGTCTCATGTTTCCATTAATCTTTTAGGAGCTATGTGCCATATGTCCTGCAGACCGTGGTTTACTTCCTACTCCAGAGGGAGATTTGTTTCAGACCCTCATTGACAATCTCTTCAGTAATACCCCATGGCATATAAATCACTGGGGAGCAAAGGGAGCTGTGCCCTTCTGTAGGAGTGAGTTTGTCTTCCAAGAACCTTGGGCTGAGGGGTGGTATGTAAATTTCAAAGCTGACCTAAACAAGCAAAATTAAAACACCATAAAATTCCCATTATGCTGCAAGGAAGAAAACTCCTTTAGCTTTTGTCTGTCATAGATACGCCCCCTGCTTCAGTTTTATAAATAAGGGAATCTCATGTTGCATAATTTTGAAATGGATTATGTGAGGGAATATGCACAGGATAGTTTTATAATGTCACAAAGTATTCTTTGGACTAACAGTTATCAAGAGGACCTGATAGCATGTAGTCTACAAAATTCTGTTTGTAAGGTTGGGATGGGTTTTCTGGTACTGTGTCCCTGGCTCACACCTGGTCAGAGACATCTCGTGATTATTCAGCCAGAGGCCTGAACCTGGTGACTGGCACTCATATCCATAATTTGAGAGTGGATGGTAGCCTGACTTTAGGTGGAGAAAAATCTTTAGGTTCTCAATAATAAATAAAGACAGAAAAAATAAGTTCACACTGGTAATTATAAGCCATAATTTTGATCCTATCAGGGAAACAATTTAGACTCCTGCCATAATGTCTGGGATTTCAATTTCTGATACTCGGAAACCTTATATTTGTCAGAGTTAGGCAACATTATTTTGAAAATATCAAAATAAAAGCATAGTAGTTATCATTTAACTAACAACATTATGATGCCTGCTTCACTCATTTGATCAACAAATACTTACCGAGTTTCTAAGTGTCAGACATTATAACTTGGAACTAGGATTACCTAAAATGTACTGAACAAAAATGGAACAGAACCCTTGCCCTCAAAGAGTTTACATGTAGAGGAGATAGACAGTAAGCGATCCTGTAGATAGTTGTATTGTTATAAATGCTGATAAGAGCTGTTATAAATGCTGATAAGAGCTATGAAGGAATGGTACAGTTGTTTGAGGGGCCCAGGAGTGTGTCTGCAAAAGAGACCTTACATCTATTCCTGTGCAGATGAACAGCCATTAACTAGACAAGAGAGTAGGAGATTTTTCTAGGCAGAAAGAGCAACATGTTTGGAGATTTGGTGCTCGGAGAGGGAGTGGTCCTTTCAGGGAACTTAAAGCCAGTGTTGCTGTAGTGCCAGAAGCAGGAAAAGGGGGTGGGAGAGGAGGCTACTGAGGCAGTTAGAGACCAAACCTGGCAAGACCCTGTATGTCCCATCAAGGATTTTGGTTTTTATCTTAAGAGCCATAGGAAATCATTGAATTGCTTATGAAAAGTAATTTCTGAGCCATTGAAATAGCAAAAAAGAACAAGCAGTTTGAACCTCAAAAAGTGAATGAAAATGAGCCCTTTATAGGTGAATTCCCTTCTAAAAAGATCCAGTAAATTCTCATGATCTTTCATGCTCAGTGGCAGTGTTTGGTGAGATCAGCCTCACTACTATCTCTTCCCAAACTATTTGGGTTTTTGTGGGGAAGAGGAGGATGACAGTCCTTCATGTTTACACAGCTCTCGACCTTTTACAAAGTGCTTTCACATGCACAATCTCCATTCTCTCATTCATTTGTGCAACAGACTTTTATTGAGGACCTGTCAGGTGCCAAACCCTTTTTCCTAAATAAGGCATAATTCCTACCTTCTAGGACTTGAATAACAAATGCAGTAAAGTGTAGATAGAGCCTTTGATCACTGCAAAAATTCTGAGATAGTCAGGGCAATAATTTTTATGTTTATTTACGGATGAGAGGCTTGAGGCTTAAAGAGTAATCAGCTCGGTGGCTTACAACTAGGCAGGATCAGGCTGGAACCTGGATCTGCTCACATGTGGCCCAGTCTTGTTTTTCCTACATCAGGCTGAGGTCACTGTCTGTCCTCTGAAATCCTGCCCTGGCTACAAATACTGCTGACTTTTACCTAATGCAAGAATCTCTTCCATGACATGTCATCTCAGGAAGCTCCTAGTGTAACAGTCATGTCTTATTCCAGCAGTGACTATGAGGAAGTTTCTTCTTATTTAACTTGAAAACTATTTGTCTGTAGCATCCATTCATTCATCCTTGTTTTGCCCTCTGAGACACCACAGATTTACTTCCCCTTCAATACAGCAACATTACAATTATTTGAAGGCAGCTTCAACATCTTCTCTAAGTGTTCCCTTATCCAGGCCAAACATTTCTGGTTCCTTGAATCATTCCTTCAGTAAATGCAATTTCCAGACCCATCACCACAGTTACCCTTGTTTGAACACACTAGTGTGTTATGTTCCCTTTTAAAAATCTGGCAGCCGGAATTACACACGTATTCCAAATGTGGTCTAACCAACTGTTACCTCCCTATGCTTCCATTAATAAAGTAGAAGATTGAGTTAGCTTTTTATTAATGAGTTCAGACTGTTTGTTATTATTGAACTTGTGGTCAACCACATCCCCCAGGTCTTTATCATATGACTTGCTGTACAGTTGACTTTTTGAACCTAGTGACAAAACTTTACATTTGTCTCCAATAAATTAAGTCTTGTTGCTATTGGCTTCGTCCAGCTTGTTGAAATCACTTTTTTAAAGAAAATTCTGATGCTGTCATCTAACGTATTAAATATCCCTGGTAGCTTTATGTCATCTATAGATGTGGTGAACATGCATTCTGCATGTTCATCCAAGTCATTAATAAATATGTTGAACAAGACAAGTCCATGGTCTACATACTGTAGTGAATCACTAGACATTTTCCTAATGCTTGGGTTCAGTCAACCAGTAACACACCAAACCGTACTGTCATCTAGCCCACATTTCTTAAACAAGAAAATGCATCTGAAAGCACTATTAAGCTCTACAGTATAAGATAGTACTTACCTACAAGAATTTTAAGAGGCGCTTCATTAAGTGATTCGGTGAACCCAGGACTCAAATGTGTAATCAGTCCATTTGATGCAGATCACACGGAGGTGTCCCCAAGCACTAATGCTTAAAGCAGCAGGTAGTAGTTTTC